CAGTCCCTTCTCTCAGCTGAACCCACTTCATGGGGTTGGGTTTTTTGGAGGGAAAATAGAAGAAGGTGTGCAAGATATGCTCTCCGCCTTGAATTATTTGTTAAAATAAAGGCAAGATACAAATAAATAAATAAGCATCTCGAAATCATTTAGTAGAACCATTGTTGTTAAGCAAGGCACAATGACCACTACAACTGATAGATACTAGAAGGCCACAGTGGCAGCCTCCCAGAAATATTTAACTTTACTTATGGGTCTGGTTCTCAAAGGACAGGATACTAAAAGCCCTAAACTGAACTGCCGTCTTGGAACACAGAAGAACTCTACTCATCTTCTACTGCCACTTCAGTCAACTTCAGTGTAGGTATTGGAAGTCATATTACCTTTTATTTCAGACAATAAAGGGCCAACATTATGTCTTCATTGGTAAGATTATATATGTCTACAGATTAGTAAAAATTTATATTGCTTATAGAATTATACTTTGCCTGAGTTCTCTGTGTGGAGAAGAATTCATCAGAATATTTTGTGGTCAGTAGTAGTTTAGCAGGCCAGGTATGCAGATGTTCTTCCCACGCAATATGTCTACTAGCTGTCCTCAGCAGGAGAAGCAGTACAAATCTCCTTTTCAAGCAAGAACTTTTTCTGGAGGAGAAATCTTTTTATTGGCTCCAGCTTCTGACTTATTCTCTGGGTTCCAACTCCCAACCTTATGCCAATCCTGCTTGGCACACCATCTTCTGGTTTCCAGTCAATGAATGCCTACAACTCAGCTCTAATGCTGGTTAATGAGGAATGAAATGGTATAGCTCCCATCTGGTTGCAAGAATGTTCAACATTTGCAAGGCACTAGAAGAGTGGAAATTAATCCTTTCCTTTCACATTGTTCACATGAACAGAAAGATAATTGGAATATGTAATATTGGTTTTTAAGTCATTTTTGTTGCCCGGGTTTCTTGTGTATTTGACATTAGATGGGAAGATGAGAAAATGTTGACTGTAAAAATATGTCATTTGGGATCAATTGCTTTCTTTTATATATTGCAATTCTATTTTTTTTTCTAGTGCCTTCATTCATAAAGGTGATAATGTATGGATATATGCCTTGATATCTAAGGAAAGATTCTTGCTTCTTGTTTAAAATCTCCAAAGAAAGAGATTGATCAACCTCAACAGATTATTTTATATGTGGGTCTGTTTCAATTTTGAACTGAGAATATTGAACTGAAATGTACAGGCAGATTCAGATGGCCAAGTCAGGTAAATGATGTAAGTTTAGTATGTGACTAAATCATATTGGATGTATTTTCCATATTTTCTCCAGTGAGTATTGACTCTGAAATCTTCCTTCATCATCTTGTGGTATTGTACTTGCATGATTTCCCAAATAAACTAGCATAGTGTTCACTGTGATACAAATGTTAAGTAAAACCATAGGAAATAGTTTAAACTATTGCCATGTATTAAAAAAAATGTTTGATGACAGAAGTTATTAAAAATGATGTTAATTCTAAAAGAATAATGAAATAGATATTGGGAGGTACATAAAATTCATCAAAAGTTATAAAATAAGTTTTTCTTCAATACCTAAGTTAAGATGTATCAAATGCATTTTTAAAAACAAAGAAATGATATGTTGTTGGTTTTTTAAAAAAAATATCCAGTGTAGACAGTTTTAGTCATGGAAGAAAAAGAAATCATCTTTCACATTGTTCCCATTGAAAGATTAAGTTACCACTAGCTATAGTGAAAACCTTAGAAGAAGTAGGTTGTTCAATTTTTTCTTTGAAATTCAGGCTTTCACCTTAGCAGAGTGGAATTAGATAAGAAGCCCAGATGATCTGCTGATATATTTCTGGTCCATGTTTAAAGGCTATTATTAAATCCAGATTCATATACAATACAATTCATATACTTTGGCTATATTCTATGATATTATCTTTTCTGTACACAGTGCCAACTACTTGCTTGGGCCATTCAATATATGCAGTTTCTGCCTGCATCTTTCACCCTGCACTATGCATTGGACTGTCTCTGATGTCTCTGTGCATAGTCTGTACCTTGAACCTTGCCTAGTGTGGTTGACCTCTGCTTCTGTGGATCTGGTGTTCAGTGTCTATTCTTGTGCTATTATGTTCAATGCCTCAATAATGTGTTTAATCCAAACTTTTCTGGCCACTATTATGATTTCCCAATCTCTGCCACCTCAGTTGTCAATAGTATATTCCATGCAAGGTGTTATCTTGCCACTGCATTTCCTTTACTTGAACTTCCTCCCATCTCTGCTCCTGCTTCAGGCATTCTCTCAGCAGCTCATCTTTAGGTGCAACAACAGCTTCCATGTCCTCCTTTGGCCAGCTCACTCTGTTGGCAGGATTTCTGATGATAGGCAGGGCATACAAGTTGATGGTATTGATGTTATTCTTCCCATTGAGCTGGGTGATAGTTGGATGTTGCTGTCTTCCTTACCTCCTCATTGTAGTTTCCCATATGACTGTGGGATACCAAGGTACTTGTAACTGGTCTGTATGTCTACTATGTGACCCCTTGTGGACCCTAGTTCCACCACATCAGTCTTAATTACCTTTCCTCTCTTGACTACCATCTGGCCAAACTTCTCCAGTCTGAATGACTTCCCAATGTCCTCCCTGTAGATACATGTCAGGTCGATATTTCATTCACTCTTAGGGAACAGCTTGCTGTCATCTATGTAGAGGAGGTGACAGATGGTAGTTCTACTCTTGAATCTGTACCCATATCCAATCTTTGTTGTTATCTGGCTGAGGGGGTTCAAGCCTATGCAGAACACCAATGGAATAGTGCATCAACTTTTTATATGCCACACACGATGGCACTTGTGTGGGCTATCTTGAATTGTCTTCTAGTGTTTTCTTCCACAGTCCCATTGAGTTCTTGACTCCTGTTGACTTTGTATAATGCCAGGCATTTTTAGATCCTTATGTGTGGCATTGAATTGTAGGCTTTCTTGTAGGGTACGCTCAGATTGGTCTGCTTAGATCTTGCATCTTGGCCAACTGCTCTATCTATGAGCAAATGACATTTTGAGCTTTTATTATTGTTCCCAATGCCTTTCTAAACTGTGCTCATGTACTGGCCATATGATGTATGAGGGAACTATGGATGGACAATAAGTAGCTAGCGAGTGAGTGAGAGAGAGAAGAGAGAGAGATACATAGACACATACATATTTTGTATATATCCTCTTTCACTGAACAATTTCTTTAGTGGCAAACCCTATATATCTGTCATCTGTCTGTCTTTCTCTCTATTATCTATTTTTCTAATTTATTTGTCAGTCTTTCATTTTCATATTCAAATGTTCAGCATTTAATATAAGAACACACAGAATTTGATTTCCATTCTGATTTACCAAGCACCTTTTCTCCTTTAAGTTATTTCTGAAACTATTTTATTGTTGTTGTTGTTAATTGCGAAGTCGTGTCCGACCCATCGCGACCCCATGGACAATGTTTCTCCAGGTCTTCCTGTCCTCTATCATCTTCTGGAGTCCATTTAAGTTCACACCTACTGCTTCAGTGACTCCATCCAGCCATCTCATTCTCTGTCGTCCCCTTCTTCTATTGCCCTCAATCTTTCCCAGCATTAGGCCCTTCTCCAGTGAGTCCTTCTTCTCATTAGGTGGCCAAAGTATTTGAGTTTCAACTTCAGGATCTGGCCTTCTAAAGAGCAGTCGGGGTTGATCTCTTCTAGGACTGACCGGTTTGAACGCCTTGCAGTCCAAGGGACTCGCAGGAGTCTTCTCCAGCACCATAGTTCAAAGGCCTCAATTCTTTTGCGCTCAGCCTTTCTTATGGTCCAACTTTCGCAGCCATACATTGCAACTGGGAAAACCATGGCCTGGACTATACGTACTTTTGTTGGCAGGGTGATGTCTCTGCTTTTTAGTATTCTGTCTAGATTTGCCATAGCTTTCCTCCCCAGGAGCAAGCGTCTTTTAATTTCTTGGCTGCAGTCCCCATCTGAGGTGATAACTATTTTATAGTAATACAAGAATAATTTCTTCACAATTTTGGCACTACTGCCTTCCTGAACTATCATATTTTCTATATTTATGTTTCTATGTGTGTGTGTTTTAATATTGGCCAATAATTCTCTGCTTCTTTGTTCCTATGCCACAAAGAAGAGGGAGTCAACCTATTCTTTAAAGCACCTGAATGCAGGACAAGAAGCAACAGATGAAAACTAATCAAGGAGAGAAGCAACCTAGAACTAAGGGAAAAAATCCTGACTGTTAGAACAATTAATCAGTGGAACAACCTGCCTCCAGAAGTTGTGAATGCTCCAATATTGGAAGTTTAGGAAGAGATTGGACAACCACTTGTCTGAAATGGTATAGGGTTTCCTGCCTGAGCAGGGGGTTGGACTAGAAGATCTCCAAGGTCCCTTCCAACTCTGTTGTTCTGTTATTTTAAGTCTGGATACTCTTAACCAACGATTTCTCCAAGGAATTTAGCCTCAGACTTCAGATCTTGCAAATCTGAGGCTCACAAAATCTTCCAGACACATTGATCTGACTTGCCTTTAAAGTAAGAAATAGGAAATCAGCTTATTTCTTGCGGAAATGTGCTAGTGAATGTAAATTATACTCCTGAATACTGCTGTGTAATATTTACTGTGGGTGTTACAATGTTGTACTTTGACATTAAGTGAAGGGGCATAGCTCAATTGCAGAACATAATGTTTAGATGCTGAAAGCCCCTGTTCAATTCCTGTAATTTCAAGTGAAGATGAAAGGTTTTGAGAAGCTACTAGTTACTAGAATAGCCAATACTGAGGGAGATGGATGGATGGATGGCCTTTCCTGGTATAAGTTTATTATGTTCTCTTTAAAACAAAATTGTTGGGTGAGACAGCAGTAAATTTTGGCTCTCCGGAAAATTTATACCCTTTTCAGAATTGGTTTATTAGGCAGAAAGCTCAAGGACTGAGCAAGATTAATCTCTTTATTGCAGGCAAGAATGAAGGCATGTATACATTGTAGTATATATTGTGCTCAAGGGCTAAATTCTAGGAGGATGAATTTTTTCTTCTTCTCATCTTTCTGAATCAAGGGATTTTTGACCATCCTTTTGATGGCTTTGGAATGGACCTGATCTACGTTGACATATGACTTCTCTCTAGCATGAAAACTATCCATTCTCATACTGCTAGACTAACGTTTATACTCATAGAAGATGGGTTTGAAGAAAATGGCTTTGAAAAGTACATTCCCTAATCAGGTTATAAAAATGAATATAAATATGGAAGGCTGTCCTTTCTCATCTCTTAATTATCCTGTGAGAAATACATTCTTCTTATGGTGTTCCACTCAGGATAATCAGTTCACACAATTCAAGCTAGATGAATCAAAAGTAGTTTCCTGTGTTTCTATGTGTGTGTTACGAGGTAACAACAAATATATCAGGTCTGCTACTTCAGCATTACGCAGGATGCCAATATTAATACTATGCTGGATTTAAATTCTCATAATCCCCAGTACACTTGGTTTCATGAGATGCATTAGTGGAGTGGATTGTATTCTATTAATGGGATATGATAATTATGCAGTTGAAACCCAACAATGGAAGACAGCAGTCAAAGAAGGTTCAACTATCAAACAGAATAAGTAACCAGGAGCTGATGTTGTCAACTTGAACTTTCTACAGATATGAGATCATGGCCATTGTTAAGACTATTTAGGATCAGTTTTGTAGTCCAGCAGCAAACCAACATCAGCAAGCTATCCTTGATCATTTTCACAAAAACTTGAAATCATTCTCACAATCATGTATAAAAATCTACTGATAAAAATCATGATCAAGAGAAAAGCTCTATTCAAAGAATCAAAACAAAACATCTTATTCGTATAGCTCACATGTAGGCAACCCCTTCCTCTGAACCACTGATAGCCCCTCTTATTTGTGGACAACCCAGAGAACTTTATTTTTTATGCCAACCATTACCAGCATGGAAATGGAAGTCCTGCCTGCATATGGCCTGCTTAATCTGGGCAATATTAAAGCTTCTCATCCCAACCCACCCCCATAAAATAGACAAGAAGCTGTACTCTCACTTATTTAAGTGATAATTAAAGGGAAATGGTTTTGTGTTTATATATTTGTTCAATCAGACTTGCAGCTCAAAATTATTACCTGCTTTGGTACTAGATGTACAAAAGGCATTCACAAAGCTGTTTTTGCTTCTGATTAGTAGTAGTCATAGTAGTCATAGTAAACAAACAACAATTATAATGATCAGGCTTCCCAGTAGTGATACAAGGTTGGCATAGAGTATAAGCAAAGGGGCTCCCTGTATTTAGAGATAATTCTCCCCAATGCCAGGATCAATTTAAGCTGTCCTTATCAAGCAACTTGTTTTATTTCAACCTGCCAGAGTTTATTAACTTGGTTGCCGTTTTTTTCAAGATCTTGTTTGTTTTTCAGATGAAATGCTTTTTAACCTTGTAACGGAATGACTTGTATTCCAAATGGGGTTGTTGTGAATAAAAGTTCCCAGAATTTCAACACAGCTCACGAGGATGACGTCTTTAGTGGTGTTTGTTTTCCTCTTTCCCCCTCAAATACCTTGTTTAGAAGCACTTTGCGGAACAGCAATCAATTTGTTAATCTTTCTGTTAACAAAACAAGACAGACAAACAAGCACTATATTTCAATGTCCCATTAGATATTTTCTGTTCCTTCCTTTAAAGATACATCTATAGGAAAATGATCTTTGTTTGGTTTGTTCATTTCCCATTTAGTAATTCCCATAATGATGAACAACATGATCGCCAACATCCGATAACGGATATGGCACAAGAAGAAGAAGTTAATGATGAAGCCACTACTTACACATATCTTCTCTCTTTCTATCATTCTCTTCATCTGGTTTGAACATCCTGTGGTTGCAATTTTTTAACATAAAAACCTATATGTTAGATATTGTAATATAATCTGGATCTTAGTGTAATGAGGGAATGACCTTGGGAGACAGGAGGGAAAGCAGCAGACTAGGCAGAAGAGGTGGATAAGCTTTCAGAAGGAAGAAAGGCATAGCAAACATCTCAGAAGGACATTCCCTAGTTTCTTGGACTATAAAGATGACAGGGGAGAAATTAGCAGTTGGGTAAAATCTTATCTTCAGAGCATTAATGGTCAATATTTTGTCTGGAAAACAGCTAGTAACTCATGAGGTTCTTTAAAGATTGGAGATTACTTTCACTATGGTTATGGAAGGAAAGCTTATTTAACAGCTAACTTTTATCCAGAGAAACCTGAAAATGGAGCACTGGCTTAAATATAGGATGAGATGCAGATGAAATATATTCAATTCTATATTTTTCAAAAGAAGAAAGAAGAAACAGAAGAGCTGGAGTTACAATATGCATCATGTTCATTATTTTCATTACATGATTTGGATAGCTTTTCTGCAATAAAGAAATAAAACTATTGGCTATATCTGAGTATTTGATAGTGTGGTTACTACTAAAGTCATTCTTTGTCCAAGATACTACTGAAAATGAAATGCAAGTTGAGTTCACTGGAGTCTTCTTAAACAGATCTAATTTAATAACATAACAGACTGAAATGCCATCAGAGAACATTTCTCATTTTTGAGAATCGCAGATGGTTGTGAGTAGTCTGATTTTATGCTGTTTGGATTCATCTAACATCAATTAATATCCATGATAAAATCAAATTGGCTAAAGAAAAAACAACAATGGAATTTTGGTACTGGATATTCATCCACTTGCCTTCCTCAAAGATCTCAAGAAAATATTATGTTTGCATTAATAAACCACATGCTTTCTTTCTGTTAAAAAGAAATTAAAGAAATGTTGAATGTGTTTCTCTGATCAAAATTTCTTACCTTTATTCAGGCTTACATGGAAAGTGCAGATGACAATGGAACACCATAAATGAATCACTTTGCTTATTTCTATCAGTGTAGCTACCAATGTCTTTGGAAGCATGTTTACAAAAGAAAGAAAAAAACACAGGATCATAATTGGGACCAGAATCTCTGTTTCTAAAGAAAATGATTGTTAAGTGAGTTGCATCTGATTTTACCACCTTCTATGCCACCATAATTAAACAAATCACTGCAGTTGTTAAATGAATCATACAAATCAGTTGGACTAGAAGACTCCAAGGTGCCTTCCAACTCTGTTAACTGTTACTGTTATTTTGCTTATTTATATTAGTACACCTGCCAGTGTCTTTGGAAGCATGTTAAGTGAATCCAGCTTCCCCCATTGACTTTGTTTGTTGGAAGCTATCTGGGAAGATTGCAAATGATGGACACATGATCCAGGGATGCTCCAACTATCATAAATTCACACCAGTTGCAAGCATCTGAATTCTGATCTTGAGATCGGGAGGATGCTGTGACTGTTGTTAGCGTGAGGACCAGCTGTAAGTCACTTTTCTCAGTGCCATTGTAACTTCAAATGGTCACTAAATGAATGGTTGTTACTTGAGCACTACCTGTTTATAGAGACATTTAAGTAAAGAGTCTTGTGTATGACTACTACAAATATATTATACCAATATATATTATAATCACTATGTGTGCATAATGCTTGCTTTCTCGGGAGAGAAATGGTGACAGTGGTATTGATGTTATCATTTCTTGCTGCTTTACCAAAGTGTTCAAATTACACAAGGAGAGGGACAACCAAATTTGGTCCCTCAGTTCCAGCCAACCTGATTTTTTCTTTATATGGGTCTCAGTGTTCTTTCATTCCTAGCAGCAGCTACAGTATGCTTAGACTCACTCTCTAGATTTCTTTTGTAGCATGCTTCTACTATTAAATCTGACAGAGATAAATCTACTTCTTTGCTCTCAGGTGCAAATTAGGGACGCTCTTTCAGGGTAAGCCTAAACTGGGATAGATGGTTACTCATCTGAGCTTGGTGGACTTTTGTGTTTAAGGGTTAGATATATTATATTCATGATAAAATACATTCTCACAATTCAAAACTTTTATCACCATTTTAAAAATCAGCATTATAGAATTGTGCCATAAACTTCTCCCCTTTTACTATGTTTTGAATGTCTGGTCAATGGGGTGATATGTCTGCCTTTATACTGTGTTGAAAAAGGACAAGAAACTAGATAGATACTAATAAAATTTGTATCTCTGGTTTTGTAAAAGATGGAATAAATAGTTCTAATTGAAATATTGTTTCATTTGAAAAGAAACAGACTGGTAAAAAGCTTAACAAACTCTTTCATAATTTGCCAAATAGATCCCATCTGTGTAAACTAATATAACCCAAATAATGGCTTGTTTGATTCTGCAGAGTTTGACATATTAACATGTGTCATAATGTGACTGGTCTTCAGATCTTCCCCATGCAGGGCATTGGTAAGTATATAGGTTTACATACAGTATGGGTATTTATTAACATATGTCTGTATTGTGCATTAGTGCCTCCCTTGTAGCTGCATGTCTTAACTGCAAGATCTGTATGTTAATATTAAACAGGCTCTTCAACAAAGTAGCATCTGTTTTTTCAATTAAAGATATTACATTTCTGTTAATTTTGGAACATTCCAATCGTTAAATAAAAAAGAACATGATTATTTGCCATCATACAATATCTTTAATTCTAAGATCAAAACTTAGATTTAAGGGGAGGAAAGACTTCCAAATCCTCATTACCAAATTGATCCATTGTGGAAGTAAGTCCAAGTCAATTCTGGGGATAAATTGTCCCTCTTATCTCCTATTAACATACAGAGGTGAGAAGCCCGCACAGCTTTCAAAGTCTCCAATGTTGTTCTATCAAGCAGCACTTATTAAACAATCAAACCCCACAGTTGGCACCAGCAGAATTTTAGAATTGAATAGAGCTGGAAGGGACCTTAGAGGTCTTCTAGTTCAGCCCCCCTGCTCCAGCAGGAGAACCTATACCATCTCAGACAAGTGACTGTCTAGCCTCTTCTTAAAAATCTCCAGTGATGGAGCGCCCATGATTTTTGGAGGCAAGCTGTTCTACTAGTTAATTGTCCTCACTGTTAGGAAGTTTCTCCTTAATTCCAGGTTGCTTCTCTCTTTGATTTCCAACCATTGTTTCTTGTCCTGCTCCCTGGTGCTTTGGAGAATAACGTGACCTCCTCTTCTTTGTGGCTGCCCCTCAAATACTGGAATACTGCTATCATGTCTCCCCTATTTCTTCTTTTCTTTAGACTAGCCAAACCCAAGTCCTGCAGCTGTTCTTCGTATGTTTTAGTCTCCAGGCCTTTGATCATCTTAGTTGCTCTTCTCCGAATTTTTTTTCCAAACTCTCAACATTTTTTTGTGATATGGTGACCAAAATTGGCTGCAGTATTCCAGGTATGGTCTTACTAGGGTTGTATAAATTGATACTAATACTTTGCATGATCTTGATTCTATGCCTCTGTTTATGCAACCCAGGATTGTATTAGCTTTTTTGGCTACTGCTGCACACTGCTGGCTCATAGTCAAGTGATCATCCACTAGGACTCCAAGGTCCCTCTCAAAGTTACTGTTTTTAAACCAGGTCTTGCCTAATCTGTACTTGTACCTTTGATTTTTCCTGCCTAAATGTAAAGATTTGCTTTTCTCCACATTGAAACTTATTTTGTTGGCTAGGGCCGATTGTTCAAGTTTGTCAAGATCTTTTTGGATCCTGAGTTTGTGGGATGTTGGCTACTCCTGCCAATTTGGGATCATCTGCAAATTTGATGAGTTCTCCTTCAATTCCTTCATCTAAGTCATTTATGAAGATATTGAAGAATACTGGGTCTAAGACGGAACCTTGTAGTACCCCATTGCTTACTTCTCTCCATGTGGACGTAGTGCCATAGAGGTCTACTCCTTGAGTACGGTTTGCCAGCCAGCTACAGATCCATCTGGTGGTGATGTTGTCTATTCCACCTTTTTCTAGCTTACCAAGAAGTAGGTTGTGGTTCAGTTTATCAAATGCCTTACTGAAATCTAAGTATGTTACTTCCACAGCATTTCGCTGGTCTACTAGTTTAGTCACTTTATCAAAGAATAAAATAAGATTGGTTTGGCATGATCTGTTTTTAACAAACCGATGCTGGGCTACCAGTTATAACTTTGTTTGCTTCTAGTTGTTCACAGATCTTTTTTTTAATTATCTTTTCTAGGATCTTCTCAGGTATTGATTGGTCTGTGGTTTCCTGGGTCTGTTTTTTTTTTCCTTTCTTGAAGATGGGAAACACATTAGCCCTTTTCCAATCCTCGGGTATTTCCCTGGTGCTCCAGGATTTTTGAAAGATTTTCATTTGCTTGTTTTCTACACTCTTGTCCCAAAGATGCTTTTTTATGAGGCAACTGTTTTTCTTTGAAAACATTTCACTTCTCATCCAAAAAGCTTCTTTAGCTCTGACTGGATGGTGGGGAATGGAAGTCAGAGCTGAAGAAGCTTCTTGGATGAGAAGTGAAATGTCTTCGAAGAAAACAAGAAAGTCCAGTTGCCTTATGAAAAAGCATCTTTGGGACATCCATGACCTGGGTAACTAAGAATCTCCATGGACATCTATACTTTTGTGTTTAAAAGGGAACAATGCGACTGAAGGCAGGGGTCCCCAACCCCCGGTCCATGGTCCAGTACAAAGCTGTAGCATGCCAGCAACCGGTCCGCACAAACAAGGAAAGCCCCATCCACAGGATGCAGCAGAACACAAAACCACACCCCCTTCAGTCCACGGAAAAACCTTTCTCCATGGAACTGGTCACTGGTGCCCAAAAGGTTGGGACCTCTGACTTTGGGGAGAAGCTTTTAGCCTTACTTTGGGTAACTGGTTTTAATCAGGGCTGGCCTCATGCACAAGAGCCAGTGTGGTACAGTTGTTGAGACATCAGATTGAAGACCAGGAGACTGTCTTCTATTTCAAGCATAAAGATGAGTGAGCTTGGGCCAGTCCCTCTTTCTCAGCCATAGGAAGCAGGCATAGCAAACCACTTCCTAAATCTTCCCAGGAAAACTGCAGGGACTTCCCTGACACAAAGGCACACAATCACACACAAAGACCTCATGCACAGCAGAAAAATCTGTTCTTATGATGACAGTTTGGACTAGACTGGGGAAATGGCTACACGGATAAACTTAAAGGAATAGCTGGTCTTCTGATCAGTGGTTTGATAGCCACAGAGGAGAACCAGTGTTGGAGCTAACAGTGATAGTGATGCAGCAATGCATCTTTCAGGGCAGTGGAAATGGTTGCGGTGAATTTAATACTTTTTTAAAAATGCTTGGTGGGCTGCATATTCTTAATATGTATCCTATAACATCCATATGATGAAGAAGGATTAGGGTTATGGGGAAATCAATGATATCAATCCAACAATAAATATATAGAATATGCTATGATGATCTGTAAAAAAAAAATCTTAAACCTGAAATGGGTCAATATCCTTATTTTGAAAATGCAGAGATTTGTGGACAAGTGTTCTGGTTCTACAGAACATTTAATTGAGCAAATGTTCACTATACATAAAACAACACACTCCCATCACAATTACACAATGTTGTTATTATTAAGGAAATCTGTTAATAGCTAGGTCCTATCAGATTAATATAATACAATGAAACTTAAGTTCTAAGTTCCAGAAATATTTTGGCTATAAATTTTAATTTTTCATGTTCATTGTTGTCTAAGTATTTTATACCCTGAAGCTCAAAGTGGCATACATAGAGCGGTTTCCTTATATTTCCTCTTTCACACACCCCTGAGAATAGATTGGGCTGCAGAAGTAAACTTCCATAGCTGAACATGCAACAGAATGTAGTCCAATACTTCCTGAATTTAAGCTTGGAAGAATTTGAAATTGATTTGAAGGCCACATCTGCCTGGGCTGAATGGCAGAAACATTATATTCAGAAATTATTACATAAACAAACTTCAGCTCCAGATTATGTAGTAATAATATGAGAATTATTGTATTTCATTTCCTATCTACCAAAGCAGACTTTCTTACTCTGGTGTTCTCCAGATGCTTCTGTCTTTCATAATGATCTTACTTCATCATCCTGACAACTTAAAATGACCTTGAGTGCTTCCTGGATCAAACTTATTTGTTGAACAATCTGTAGTCAGTAAAACATTGCAACATTGTTGTTTGCTATCTTGTGTGAGTTTGTCCGTGTGGGTGTTTCAGAATATTTGTCTACAATCCTGGACCACAAGGTGAATTGGCAAGCAATTGTTGATATCTGTAAATGCTTTCATGTTGAGTTAATGCATCATGGATATCTAATTCAAGTTCAAGACATTTGCTCTGGCATTGGCAATAACATGGAAAATGTTGTATTCTATGAGAAGAGCTAAGCTTATGTAGCATTAAGATGATGGTAGTGAAGGCTGGAATACTATAGTTAATGGATTCAGGGAAGGTTTGATTTATTTCTCATGTGGTTAGAATGGTTAGAATGCTGGGTTGATGATTTTGAAGCCCGAGTGCTTCTGTGTGACAGACAGTGGTGGGATTCAGCCAGTTTGCACCACTTTGGCAGAACCGGTAGCTAATTTTTTGTTGCCCAGGCCCAGAATGGACTTCTGGAAGCAGCATCCACACAGAGAACTGGTTGTTCACATATTTGAATCCCACCACTGGTGACAGAGTAAGTTCCCATCATTTGCTCCAGCTCTTGCTGACCTAGAAGTTTGAAGCACGCAAAATAGATAAATAGGTACCACTTTGATGGGCTCATTAACAGGGGCATGAAAGGAACCCCCAACTGGGTATCCCCTGGGCAACAGTGGTTCGCTGTTTAATCCTTTCACCACAAAAGTGCTTTGGTGCCTCTGACAAAAAAGTACAGTATAGTATGAGGACAAAAATGTGTTTTTCACTGGCAAAGGAGTTTTGTTGCTGTTGTAGCAGATATCAAGGACTGGGCCTCCCCTTGATCTTCTTCTCCACTGCCCCTGAGAATTTATTGATTGATTTGTATCCTGCCTTTATTATTTTCACAAATAACTCAAGGTGGCAAACATTTCCAATATACCTTCTTCTTCCTCTTTTCCCCACAACAACAACCCTGTGAAGTGGGTTGGGCTGAGGAAAAGTGACTGGCCCAAAGCTGTCCAGCCTTAACCACTAGACTAATCTGGTTCTCTTAAGTGGTAACAATTAGTAACATTAAGAGACCTGAAACCAAAAACACGACTTTTTGGTGGCCTGTGAAGGAAAAAACAAATAGTTAATGTTCACTGACTTACTGGGCCAGATACACCAAGCTCCAAGGCTGCTGAAACTGTTGCTCTGCTGGAGGCACATCTTTGTCCATGGTACAAAAGTTGAATGCTTTTAAGAAAAACCCAAAAGAAAGCAGAAGAGATTATTAGAATCAACCCTGGCACTTTGCTATATTCTGTGACTTGAGAGAGGGCCTGCTTTGTGGTTGTTTTATTTGTGGATTAAAGAAGAAGCAGTCCACCACTGCCTCCTTCTTGAACCAGATCTGACCCTCGCTGCAGCACAGGGAAAGGTTTTGGCAACAGAAGCTGCACCACAACACGGGAAAGAAATCTGTCATAGAGATTTTTCCAGTGTGCTCATGCTTCAAGATGAGAAGTAATCAGAACTTTTTTCAGCCAGCTCACAGAAGCCTAATTATTCATGGGCCTGCTAGGGTTATGGTGAATAACATAAGCACAATGAGTGACAATTCCAGAATGCAGAATGTTATGCTTGCAAGAAAAAGGGCCATATTTCTTGAAGAATTACTATTTCCAGTTTAGCTTGCCTCCAGCACACTTCTGGTCAATCCCAGCAGCCAGATCGCTGCAAGCACACACACCTTTCAGTTCAGCTAGCAAAACTACAGATGGCTAACTTCAACATCTGCTAGCTTTCAGATGTGCATGGCCAGGGAAGCTAGCAGTCCTTCTTACCTCAAAGTAAACCCATTAGGGCTGCCATTATATGTGGAAATGATCAGCAATTTGAACAGATTTCTGGATGAGAAGAAAGGCTACCACTTCTGACGTACCATGACAAAACCTTTTGCTTCTCAATCTGAACTGCTGGAGTATGCCCAGATATAGTCTTTTTTGTCTACCTCTCCAACTTTGGATGAGAGTATTTTCAAGGCAGGTGGTGGTATTAAAAAAAAAAAAGCTTTTTTAGCTTCTGTAATTACTTCAGTAAAGCTTCATTAATGTTCTGGGGAGATTGTTCCAGCGCTGTTTTATAGTACTTCCAATTGGGCAAGCCTCTATGGTACAACAGAAGAGAAAGAGGTATATTGATCTCTCAGTTTTCCAGGACATCAAATGATCCTCGACTGAGGATTATTTGTTTAACAACTGTTCAAAGTTAGAACAGTTGCTGAAAAAAGTGATTTATGACTGATCCTCGCATTTACAACCTTCACAGTATCCCTGAATTTTATCTATGATGGTGACAGGAAATCTGAGTTTGAATGAATCAAGAAGCTCTTTCAAGAAGAACCATTTCAGACTAAAAATGACAAATTCAGGAATTTCTGTTTGTTGTCTTCTGTTTCTTTTTATGCTAGAGTTGAACCAAAACTGCTTGTTCTTTTTCTGCAAATAGCTTTGAAGTCCTTACTTTTCCAATGGTGTAATTGGGCACTGTAAAATATTTGCTCATTTATTTAATGTCTGTTGAACAGTGTAATTTAAAAAGTAGTCATTCATTTTCATAGATATCATTGTCATGAAACCTGTGTGGCTTATGCTACAAAGCAACTCACGGTTATGACAAGGACAAGAAAGTCAATTTAGAACAAGAATACCAGACAGACAAAATAAATAATCTTTGTTTTGGCCAAGGACTGTAATAAACAGAATGGTATCACTGTAATGAGGATTATACAGAAGCCAATCAGTGTGTGAATTAAATTATATAAAAACTCTGTCCCAAAAAGAAGTATGAGATCAAGGTGAAATTCAGAGAGGCTTAATGCAATCATTGCCTTCTCCTCCTCCTTATTTATCTGATATGGGATCTCATGCTTGGATGCAATTTATCTCTTTTTCTTTAAAATAATAATTTTATTTTAAAAAATACAAAGGTAAAATAGAATTAACAATAATATCAATTCATGTCAATATCCTGTTTTTCATGCTCTTATTAAAGTTTGATTTCCCATAAGTATTTAAAGTATCTTTGTCAGTTATAATTTTCTCAATATTAATTACATTTATATAATTAAAAAAAAATATTCATACCAATCCTCCTCTTAGTTTCAAATTTCCCATATGAAAAGAAAAAAAATGCTATTTTAATTCTAAAACATATCTTCCATTATAAAAATCTAGTTATATCTAAGGGTCATCCGTTCTTTTAATCATATTCAAACAAGTATATTAAACAGATAGTGCCCATTCTGGTGGATCAAATTCTCTGTTTTTTAAGTCTAACTCTCGCTTTCTTTCTTTGCCAAGAAGTTTTCCAGGCCAGGGCAATTAAATCATCCAAGATTTTCCTTTCTATTTTTTGTGCAAGCTGCTTGGCATGAGAAAGACAATATAAGTAGAGTATTTGGGAACTCCACCTAGACATTTCCCCTGTCTGCTCTATGTTCCATTTTCTAGAATCTTCTTCCTTGTCATCAGGTGTATTTTGGAGAAAGGAGTAAAGGGTCTTTTGTATTTTCATTGTTATAGGTAGGTCTTGGAGTATTTTATTTGTGTATGGCAATCCATATTTCCATTCTCTTATCTCCTCCATCTCTAGGTTCATTTCTTCTGCTTCACCCTCTGATTTCTGATTTACTTGTTCATACTTTATAGTCATTGTCTGGGAGCTTTTCAGTTACTAGCTTCAGTTTAAAGATTTGGTCCTTTATGTCATCTAGATTATTTTTAGTCTTATTATGGGCTTTTTTATGTTCTCTTTGTGTGCAAGAATTGTTTGATGATTTTGCTGTAGCACAGAGAGTATTTCCTTCTTGTTTTTTCTTGAGGCATCAATCCTCTAGTATCACCAGTTTCAGTAAGAGTGGAACAGAATTTCCTCTAGTTTTCTGGTCTTTATATATAGCTTTTATAATCCAGTCCTAATAGCAATATTTTATATAATCCTTTTCTCAAATATCCTGAAAATTATCAATTAGGCAAGGTTGTAATCCACAATGTTCCAAGTGTTCAAAATGTTCAACTTCCCTGCAGCCAGACATATTCAAAAGTCAAATTTTTCTTCCCACTAGCTCTTGAGATTAAAAGTCCAAGCTCAGTAGGTATTTATAGTCCAAAAAGGTCAGGATGATAAATATGTCAAAAAATTTTCCTTTATTGCCAGCTGTTCTCCCTTAAGCTGAAATTCACCAAGCAGCCAAGGAGCTAGTTATAGTGCTGTACTCAAATCCACCACTAGATGTCATTCAAAGTCCATTTTCCACTCTTAAAAGCAAAGGATTGATTTCTTATATTTCTTATATTTTACCCTCAATAAATTTTTTTTCCAAAGATAAAATCTTAACAATTTATCTTAGTTCTTAGATTTATCAAAACTGTAGCTTTGTATTACTTTCACTTCAGTATTGTGTATTTCTGTCCCCTATAAACAAATTTAAATGCCGCTTCCATTTACATCTGGAAGTTTTAAGCTTCTTGGGAGCCTTTCCAGGAAATTCAGTTGTAAAATAGTAAAGAAAAGATCAATATTCTGACCCAGTCCAAACATGCTGCTTTCAGTGTGCTAATTAAAGCTTTTGTTGTTCGGTTGTCAGCAGCTAATCGCCGGCCGCAGAGGTGTGGCTGGTCTTTTCCTTGCTGGTTTAGAGGGCTTTCCTTGGATCGAACAGAGAGACCACCGTCTCTTCATGATCGACAAGGCACCCCGCCTTCATTGCCTCTTCGGGGCAACTTTAGGCCCTTTCCAGGGCCCTCAACAGGGCAAAATTGGGCTCAGGAGGCAGAGCTCTGCCTTCCTGCATCCCGTCTCACCGTGACAGAATACCAGAAGTCTAACAAGCAATTTCCGAAAGGTTTAGAAAAGAAAGTGTGTAAATCTAGTGTTCTTTTGAAGGTGTCAACCATGGATTGAGCAAAATAGTTATTCCTTTGTTTCCCAGAGCTCTAAACTATTGCAGACTGCTGCCTTGCAGTCTCCTCATGAGAAGCAACTGTATGGAGAACTTGTAGGCAATCTCAAATGCTCTCCTTGTCTAGAGAGGCATTATTTTAGTGTACATGCTACACTTGTAAAAGTGGAACCATCTTTAGTTCACCATTTCTTTTCCAAAATTTTTGGAAGAAATTTATTTTTCAATAAAGGAAAACTAACTTTTTAAAATCACAAAAGATATTAGCATTTCTATCTTGACATACAATAAAAAAAATACTTCCTGGCTTGCAGGCTTTACTAAAATTGTAAGTGGTCTAGGATCAAAATCAATCAAGGCATTCCCAGTAGAATAGATGCTTAAAATGTTAGACCTAATCTAAGACTTGAGAAAGATGTATTGATTTATTTTTGTATTTATATGGCCACCTGACAAAATCTTTGTGACTCTGGGCAGTATACAAAGGATAAAATCCCAAAATAATTAATATAAAAACAATAAAATGGCAACTAGAACTTAAAACTTCTATAAGTTACCCATTGGGTGATAAGAGCAACCTTCTTTCCAGTGGCAGCTATTTGGTGAGCAAACCTAAGAAAAGAGTAAAAATTTTCAGGGAAAAAAGAAATGGCTTGAAGGTCATTAGGGTCTGCAAAGTAGGTTTTGCAAACTAGCTGAACCCAGACCATTTGGAAAGAACCATCTACTCTGGAGTAGACCATCCATCTGAAAATTTCTTTTCAAGTGAATTCGCTTTTCTAAAAACTTTTGATTTTCAACTATAGGAAGCACCACTACAGCATTAATGCAACTGAGAACCAGTTTGGCATAGTGGTTAGGGCAATGGTGTTGGCTGGGGAAACACATCTTAATACTGCTAAGGTTGGGAAATCCTGTGTTAAAGTGTTAAATAGAAACGAAGAGACTATGAGCTCTAGTCCTTTTTGGCTGACATTGGGCCATCATTGTCCTTCAGCCCAACCCACTTCACAGCATTATTATTGTAGAGAAAATAATAAGATGAATCATTATGTTCATTACTTTCAGTTGTAAAAATACAGTAGCTTGTACATTTCAATAAACATTTTGTGGGCTGCCCAACCTGACTTTAGATCAGGTTAACATGATTCATTTCTGATGTTAAATCCTACTTGGTACTTCATTCTGCTCTCCCTTTTCAAAGAATATTCCTATGACAAGCACATGACAGTTAACAGATAACTCAGCAATTATTTTTTAAGCACAATCTATATATAAATATCAAAGCCTCAAGCTGTCTTGAAGAACTGAGTTGCTTCCTCAATTTCCTTTCTTTTGTGTGTCTTGTCTTTTCAGTCTGCAATCCATATAATTGGGGCTGTCTCCTTCTTTTAACTAGTATGAAATCTAAATGGAAAAACAGGAAAAAAAATAAAATCAGTGAATAAAATAACTTGCTGATGATTAAGGAACACAGAATTGTGGACCCTTTTTCTCAATTAGAAAGTACTTTTGTTCTGTTCTCCCAAAGGCCATGTGGTGGCAGTCCATGTCAGCCCACAGTGTTCAATGGATGGACGTTCCTTTTCCTAAAAAAAAATCAAACTCAGCATTCTTCATGACAAACACATCTGCTTCAAGTGCCAAAGCATTGCTAAGTTTCTCAGGATTGTTCTGAGAAGGTCACAGTAGACCTCTTCTAAATCTAATGTGGTATAATAAATGTAATCTATGGGAACACAAGATTCAGAATAACAAAATTGTTCCTGAATATGCTCACATGTGCTGCTAGTATTTTTATTTTCAAAAGACAACTAATCATACAATGTTGATTTCTGATTCTACTCCATTGAGATTAAATATATTCTTCCAAATATATGTCCTCCTTAAATATCACTTTTGTTTGTAAACTATCTTATTTGAGGATCTATTTCATTGTACTTATCCTAAATCTAAAAAGAACATTTTAAGTAAGTGGAACAAGTTTAAGAACTTTTTTTTTTTAATAAACAGCAAAATAGTTATTAAAATTATAATTTTAGCAAGTTACAAATGCAGATAAAGTTGAAATAAAATTTTGGAAATAAGAATCCTTCCCATGGAAAAATTTAATTTCAAGTTGGACAATAGGAGTTTGTATAGTCAGGATTAAATCAGTTGCTTATAAAACAAGTTGTAGCAGTCTTTAATATAGACACAATTATTGTTGGATTTCCTTCAGTATTTGATTTAGCATTTTTCTCTTGTTAATTTTGTTTTTTATATTGTTTTTTGTGTTTTTTAATTGTTTTATTTTATTTTTTCTTCTCGTAGTTGTATTAAAGCATAATAATAATAATAATTCCCCATTGAGACGCTACTTGATATGGCTGTGGGGTTTGTATGCTTTGAGGAAGAAGAGAACTATATTAGAGGTTCAATCATACTGAACAGGCCTCATCAGAGGAGCCAGATGAAGGGTGTCTCTTTGATAAACAACATGGTGAGATGTGATTTGCAGAAACCTATACTGGATCCATTGTTGCCCAGGTCAACAAGAACCAAATTAAGTGTTGGAGTTCCTGAACACCTGATGACAAATGGACTACAGGAATCAGGATTGTTGACTGAGCCCCAGGACCAGTGTTTACCCATTGTAAATATAAAAAGATTGAAAACAGAGAAACAATAGTCCATTATTACAAACCAAGTACAGCAAGAAGAGGATATTTGAAAATTATGCACCAGTTCTGGAAAGAACATCTAAAATAAGAAATAACAGAGCAGAGGCTATCAGAGCAGCATCAATTTATAAGACAAAATAAAGTATTCACAGAAGCAGAATTGGAAGAACTGCAAAGGTCTACTACCCAAGGCAAAGAAATCAAAGCATTGCCAGAAACAGTTCAGACTATAGGGGCAAAGCAGGGGAAGTCAGCAATAGAGGAAATCGTAGATCATATATCAAAATAATTTTGATGTTTTCATACCCCATAGAAAAAGTTGAGTTCCACTGGTAATTTAGTATATAAATTATATTAAAAGTTTGAATTGGCTGCCATTTTTTTCTAAATACATCCTTACATCCTTACTCATATGAACACTGAACATTCCTAAGTACAGTAACAAATTGAAAAGTATTAATTAATAAAATGTATTGTGATTGGCCTTATGGGCCCTAACTATCTATGTATTTATAAATGTAAAAAGAAGGAAAATTAGCTCAATTATTATAGCACTCATTATTTCCCGTTTGTTTGCTTTTTGGTAACTGCATTCTTATTTTCCTAAATTGCCACATGTCATTTATGGCTAATACAGTTTGGTTAGAAACAGTCAAACAATATTTTGTTTTTAATGCATTTGAAATGGTCACATAGGTTGAAGCCCCATGAAGTCAGATGGGCATTCTGTTTTCGATTGCTTTTTCCCCAAACATTTACAATATAAAGTAATTAAACTATTAAAACAAAATTTAGAAGAGATAATAGGAATCAGTTATAAAGCATGTTTTTAAAATCATGGTTAATCTTTGTTTTTGATTCAACTAATTTTTCATTTGATTGTTCACACTGAACTGCTTTTTGAAATAGTTTACTGAACTATGGTACAGTCTGGCTATGGGCAAATATCATCTGTATCAAGGTAGACATATATATGTGTGTTTGTGTATGTATGTTTGTGTATTTGTGTATGCACACATGTGTTTGCATGAGCAAGCTACTACAAAGGAAAAATGGGGAAGGAAAGATGAGTAGAGTAAATCTACTCAAGTCAGCATCACTTCTATGGCTAACTCATTGCACAATGATAGAGATACAGAGATAGAAAGACAGACAGATTTGGAAAGTCATGCACAAATTCAGAAAAAAGAGAAATTCAGCTGAAAAATATGATTGTGAAAACACATTCCTGCACGTAATGATTTATTCATAATGATTTATTCCGATACTTCTGTGTGAGTGTTCTATCTAAGAAAATTGAATTCCAAACACTATTTTAGCAAAATCCTCCAATTAATATTTTGAAATGTAAATGTTACATTTTAGTCAACATAGCGACAAGGAAATAGAGATATTCTGAATATATAGAACGTCATTGTACCACAAAATAACTGTTGGGTTAGATTTAGGATGATTGTCTATCTTAATTGTTTATCAAATACTAGAATCCTAAGGCAAAATAAAACCCACAAAAATCAAAGAATCAAAATCTCACAAGAAGGCAGTAGCAAACTGAGATTTATTATTGCCAAGAAATCTATAAGTGTGCGTCAAAGAAAGTCATCAGCATTTGACCTTGTCTCAAATGAAGCTTTATTTTTTTATCATAATAGGAGCTTTAAAACTGATTAGTGGGAAACTATTTTTCTCTCAGATCCTTATGTACCTGAGAACAGGAAAGGAAACACTTTTTTGCTATATTTATTCATACTGATTTTAAAAAAAACATTCATTCATTCAATAGTCCATCGGTCTAAGGCAATTGTGTCCAACCTTGCAACTTTAAGACTTGTGGACTTCAACTCCCAAAAGTCCCCAGCCAGCATGGGTGGCTGGGAAATGCTGGGAGATGAAGTCTACAAGTCTTAAAGTTGCCAAGGTTAGACACATCTTGATCTAAGGCATCAAATATTGAAGCACTTGAGAATGCTGATTATGTATAAGCAACTTGAAGCAAGAATAACACGCCTTCTAAATCTGTGGTCTGCATTACATTCAAAACTCTGTGAATATTTGTTAAGCTAAGCAATTGCCAGAATGTGTTAATATCTCTGTTTGTGGCATCCTCTGTGTACCAGTCCATAGTGTAGCTAGTAGCAGTAAGTTGGCTTCCAGCCTTGCTCTAATTGACTTGAGCTTTGTTGAACAGTTTGTTTATCTGTTTGAAGCTCTGTGCTCTTTTTTTCTTGCTCTCTTTTCATTTCATAGCCTTGAAATGTTAGCCAGGGGATAATTTTAAACTGCAGGTTTCAAATCTATTTCAAGGTGACCATGTGCTACAGACACAAGGAAGACTATGTACCAAAACCATTTATCTTCACAGAAAAATAGGGGAATCTAAATAGACCCCACTCCATTCACTTACCTACCTCACATTGTAGCACAGGGGCAGATCATATTTTTGCAGATGGAAGCGATATTTTATATTTTTTCCCAACTTTAAAGATTGCAGGGATTGTGGCTGATGATTTAATGATCTCACTGAAATGGGTGGTGTTGAAATGTTCAGCCTGTTTTATGATAGGGAATTTGCAGGACAAATAAATGTAGAATGTTCTCAGAGGCCTAACATATCCATTCTGTCCCCTATTTTTAGAAGAAAACAGAGATTTTTATTTTTTTATTTTTTGCTAGTTCAGTGTTGCAAATCTGTGAGTGCTCATGAAGTCCCAAAAATGGACCAGAATTTGAATATGTCCTATGGATAGCTGTCTCTTGTTGCAGTACATGAATAGAAATGTCCATCACACAGCAAAGCTGCTGACTGCAACTTTACAATGTGATCTGCTAAAACTAAAGGAATAGTGGCTCTTTTTCTTGGTGTTTATCAGTTGTTTGAATTACAGCTTCTATCAGCTCCATTGATAGGGCTGAGAGCAGTTTTAGTCCTAAGTTTCTGATTCACACAACAGGAGAGAAGCTTATTCTGGTTTAATACTAGGTTTCTTATAGGTCACCTGAACTCAGCAGAATACTTATCTGAACTTGCAATCCCAAATCAGCATGCCTGTCTATAGGAATACATCTCCCCCCTCCAATCCATTATTAGCCTTTACAGAGGCGAGGCAGGGGGCCAGGACAAGGAATAGGGCTAGAGAGGATACAAAAGAGACAAGTGTAGTGTGGGAAGAAGAGGATGTTGGGAGGAACAGAATGGGAGAGGTGGGGAAAGAAAATATAGAGAAAAGGTAAGGATTTCCATTCCTTGCTCAATTTTGTTCTCTCTGATAAAGTCTCCTTCAGGTTGAGTTTTACTCCAGGTGATTTCATGAATATATCCAAATGAGTTTTTTGTTCCTAGCTTATATTTTCATTATTATGGTTGGTTGCCCAGTCAGCCAGATGTTTAGACTGGATTTAACATTTTTGGCCATCTATTAGGACCTTCCCAAGCACTTGGGATCACGCAGATGTTATTTGGTGGTGTTAAAGGTATCATCACAGGATGTAAGCTGTTCCATATAAAGTGGCTTTTTGCAATACACAGTGATTTTGTCAAAGCCAATGGTGTTCAAATGCTACTCCAGATGTTTTAGGATTGCACCCAAGATGTACCCTGTTACTATTACTACTACCTTTGCTTTTTTTGCCATAGTTTTTCTACTTCTATTGGCAAGTCTTTGTATTTTGTGATTTTCTCTAGTTCTTTCTCTTCTATTAATAAATTAAATATTATTTAATCTATTTCTCTGTTCACAACAATGC